ATTCTTGACTTGATTTTTAGTTGTTTGACCCCTAGAGTAAGCATAGCTGTGATAGGCAATTTGGTTCCCCTTCAGAAACTCGAGCTGTGTCCGAAAACGCTATGGGAACGCCCCCAGCGTGACCACGCTCTGAATCACANTGCCTTAGATGTGTGGAAATAAACTTGGTTCTTGTCCCAGGGCCCGGTGTTGGGAGCTCCCTGTCGTGGGAAGTGGGAACTCGTGCCCTAATAGTTAGAGATTCGGACTCGTAACCCAAAGGTTGTCTCGTCTCGTACCGGCAGAGATTGTAGGGGGGGGGGGGTCTCTCTCCACCTTTAATACCACGACTGAAGTGCCCTTGAGCAAGGCACTGAACCCCCAACTGCTCCCCGGGCGCCGTGGCGAAAAATGGCTGCCCACTGCTCCGGGTGCGTGTTCACGGTGTGTGTGTGTTGACTGCTGTGTGTGCACTTTGGATGAGATAAATGCAGAGCAATAATTCTGAGTATGGGTCACCATACTTGGCCACATGTCACGTCACTTTCACTGTCGCCGTGTAACGCTAACACTTTTTCCCAGACCTAAGAGATCGTCATGTGTTGGTGCGCACCGACAACACAGCAGTGGTCTCTTACATCAACCACCAGGGAGGTCTGCGTTCGCGACCCTTGTACAAGCTGGTGCACCAGATCCTTGTGTGGTCCCAGGGCAAATTCCTCTCACTGAGAGCAGTGCACATTCCTAGGCATCTCAATATGGGAGCAGACATTCTGTCGAGACAGGGGTCGAGTCCCAGGGAGTGGATGCTTTTGGCCAGGCTCAAGTGGACTTCTTTGCGACTCAGTCGACATCGCAATGTTCCCTCTGGTTCTCTCTGACTCACCCAGCTGCTCTGGGACTGGATGCTATGGTGCAGACTTGGCCGAGGCTTCGCATTTCCCCTGATTGCTCTGCTCCCGGGAGTTCTGGAGAGAGTAAGCCGGGAGGGGGTCCGTCTACTGCTAGTATCCCTGTTCTGACCGGGCTGAGTATGGTTCTCGAATCTCACTCCTCGACAGCTCTCCATGGCAGATTCCCGTCAGGAAGGATCTCCTCTCACAGGCAGGGGGCACGATAATTCACCCCCGCCCGGAGTTGTCTCCGCCCGGTGTTGTCTCAAATCCAGAGCTCCCTCGACGAGGAAACTGTACGCCTTGAAGTGGAAACTTTTCACTTCATGGTGCGGAGACCGCCAGCTTGATCCAGCTAACAGTCCGATTGGTAAAGTTCTGGAAATCCAGCAGGCCCGATTCTCCACAGGGTTTACCCACTCCACCCTAAAAGTTTATGTCCAGGCTGACCTGCTGAAAGACTTAGACGAGGGAGAGGAGATCAAGTCTGAGAACATCTCGGAGTTAAGAAGGACCGCTAATCTCTCCCTCCACGCCACCAAAGAGACTGCTCACGCCATCTGGCGGTCCATGGCAGTAATGGTGGCGGCGGAGAGGCATTTGTGGTTGACCCTTTCAGATATGAGAGAAAAAGACAGGGTCTGTCTCGGCGTTGCAGCGATTCCTCCTTTGTCGATCTCGGGGGGCTGCTGGGCGGGAGCAGACCCCTCCGCATACCAGCTCCTCATATAGGGAGGCCCCGGGACGCTCTGGGCCGGGGACTTCAAAGCAAAAACAAGATTTAAGAGCTGTCCTTGAAGCTAAGAAGTCCTCGGCGAAGAAGTCCTGACACCTTAGATCAGCTGTTCCCTGCCGATGCGCCGCTCCAGGGCACCGATTTAGCTGCCCCTATTACACCAGAGGTCAGTCTCGAGAGACTAATTCCCTTAGTAGACTATTTAGCAGCATGGAAACTACTGCCAAACGTGTCTCAGTGGGTCCTGCACACGATAGAAAAAGGCTATCGCATTCAGTTCGGCTCTCCACCACTGCATTTCAGCAGGGTTGTTCCGACTTTGGTCAGCCCCGAGCAGGCTCTGGTAATGGAACAGGAAATAAACACTCTGTTGAGGAAATACGCCATCGAAGTGGTCCCTCTTCACGAGAAAGAATCTGGGTTTTACAGCCGGTACTTCATAGTTCCAAAGAAGGATGGAGGGTTGCGTCCGATTTTAGATCTGCGTCAACTGAACCGCTCAGTCATGCGACTGAAGTTCAAGATGCTCACTATCAAACAAGTCGTGTCTCAGGTCAAGTCCGAGGACTGGTTTGTCACGATAGATCTAAAAGATGCATACTTTCACATCTCCATCCTTCCCACTCACAGGAAGTTCCTGAGGTTTACTTTCGGGGGCGAAGCGTACCAATATCGTGTTCTTCCTTTCGGCCTTGCACTCACCCCACACTTTTACGAAGTGTATGGATGCTGCTCTGGCTCCACTGTGACTCCAGGGCATCCGCATACTGAATTACATCGACAATTGGATGATTTTAGCTCAATCGGAGCAGATGGGAGTTCGACATCAAGATGTCGTTCTTGCTCATATGGGGGAGCTGGGTTTGAGACTAAATGCCAAGAAAAGTGTGCTTTCTCCATTACAGAGAACCGCTTATCTGGGTGTGCTGTGGGATTCGACCATGATGCAGGCACGTCTGTCCCCTGCTCGGATCGAGTCGATCCTCACAGCAGTCAAGAGAGTAAAAGAAGGCCAGTTACTCACTGTCAAGCAGTTTCAGAGGCTGCTGGGTCTGATGGCAGCTGCGTCCAACGTGATACCTTTTGGCCTGCTGTACATGAGACCCCTACAGTGGTGGCTCAAGACCAAGGGATTCTCCCCGAGGGGAAACACGCTTCGCACGATCAATGTCACACGGAAGTGTATTCGTGCCTTAGATGTGTGGAAATAAACTTGGTTCTTGTCCCAGGGCCCGGTGTTGGGAGCTCCCTGTCGTGGGAAGTGGGAACTCGTGCCCTAATAGTTAGAGATTCGGACTCGTAACCCAAAGGTTGTCTCGTCTCGTACCGGCAGGGATTGTAGGTGGGGGGGGAGTGAATGTACAGCTCTCTCTCCACCTTTAATACCACGACTGAAGTGCCCTTGAGCAAGGCACTGAACCCCCAACTGCTCCCCGGGCGCCGTGGCGAAAAATGGCTGCCCACTGCTCCGGGTGCGTGTTCACGGTGTGTGTGTGTGTTGACTGCTGTGTGTGTGTGCACTTTGGATGAGATAAATGCAGAGCAATAATTCTGAGTATGGGTCACCATACTTGGCCACATGTCACGTCACTTTCACTGTCGCCGTGTAACGCTAACACTTTTTCCCAGACCTAAGAGATCGTCATGTGTTGGTGCGCACCGACAACACAGCAGTGGTCTCTTACATCAACCACCAGGGAGGTCTGCGTTCGCGACCCTTGTACAAGCTGGTGCACCAGATCCTTGTGTGGTCCCAGGGCAAATTCCTCTCACTGAGAGCAGTGCACATTCCTAGGCATCTCAATATGGGAGCAGACATTCTGTCGAGACAGGGGTCGAGTCCCAGGGAGTGGATGCTTTTGGCCAGGCTCAAGTGGACTTCTTTGCGACTCAGTCGACATCGCAATGTTCCCTCTGGTTCTCTCTGACTCACCCAGCTGCTCTGGGACTGGATGCTATGGTGCAGACTTGGCCGAGGCTTCGCATTTCCCCTGATTGCTCTGCTCCCGGGAGTTCTGGAGAGAGTAAGCCGGGAGGGGGTCCGTCTACTGCTAGTATCCCTGTTCTGACCGGGCTGAGTATGGTTCTCGAATCTCACTCCTCGACAGCTCTCCATGGCAGATTCCCGTCAGGAAGGATCTCCTCTCACAGGCAGGGGGCACGATAATTCACCCCCGCCCGGAGTTGTCTCCGCCCGGTGTTGTCTCAAATCCAGAGCTCCCTCGACGAGGAAACTGTACGCCTTGAAGTGGAAACTTTTCACTTCATGGTGCGGAGACCGCCAGCTTGATCCAGCTAACAGTCCGATTGGTAAAGTTCTGGAAATCCAGCAGGCCCGATTCTCCACAGGGTTTACCCACTCCACCCTAAAAGTTTATGTGGTGGCCATTGCGGCCTACCATGGTGGCCAGTCAGTGGGTAGACTCCCCCTAGTTACATGTCTTCGATATCCACGACCTATGCCTGATCTTCATCTCCACTGCTGATTTAATAAAAGATACGAAGAATTGAAGAACAAAGTATTGATCTCAACAATATACCTTTTAATTAATTTCTAATATCTATCAAAGAGTCAGATGATGTAGTAAACTGTAAGTTAGTTTATCATGAGTAATTTAAAGGCCAACTGACAACAGTCAAGGAACGCAACAACCAAAATGTTCTTTCAGAGTAAAATAACACATTTGGCGTTTTTTTACATTAATTACATATTATTTACAAATCCATCTCCTTTTCCTTTAATCCGACCCGGCAAAGATGTGAAAGTAGTGACAAAAACAAGCTTTTCAGCACTTGATGGGTAACTGAAAACAGAGCATGTACAATATTAAAACACTTATCTGACAGGGCAAACACCACTGAGTAAAATTCAGTGTGGTCGAATATTTTTTTGAATTTATATACTTACAATTCACCCTTCTCCAAGTGACTGACACAAACTTTGACAAGCAGTCTCCTGGACTTGAAATGATCCTGTGTTCCTCAGGTAACTTAACACTGCTGCTTTGCTTTGAAGTAGAGAGTGCAGGCCTCCCTGTTCATTTGGTACTGGAACATGCTACATTACATGACGGCCGTGAGTTTTACCTTACCTATTCAATTATGCACATAATAAAATAATACATCCGCAAATTCGTGAAGATAAGGCTCAGTGTTACTCACACCGTAGAGTAATGCGAAGAGAAGAAGCAACATTCACGCCGTCTCACCCGCATCAAACAGCACAAGCACTGTGACCGCACCTGATGCTGCGAAGCAAACGCTCCACGTTAAATTGTTCACTTATAATCCTCTTTTAGGTGTTTATAAAATGATCTGGTGTGCTAGACAACTTGTTTGGTCATGTTTCCTGTTTCAGCGTCTCTTCTTTTTTGCAGTTGTGCGCTCAGCCTCGCTTACACTGTTCACTAACGGCAGAACTGCAGTGCACGTCGCCACTTTCCAACTAATTAATAACGTATTTGGTAGCTAACTATTTCCATGGTCGATTTTTGCAGCACTACGCATTTTAAAGAGTATCTGCTGTAACTTACGAATAGATGTGAGTCCGACAGCATATTGATTCCCCTCAAACCAGACCAGCCAGAGTAAAAAGAGCGGGATCCGCCGCAGTTTAAAAAGGCGAGAGGCACGACGTGATTGGCCGACAAAAAAATAGCCGTTAATATTTTAAGTTTAATAAATTGAGATGTATATATTGTATATTTATTTTAGTCATTTTTAGAGCTTTTTATGTGCTACCATATGAAATATATGTATTGTATTTATTTCCATAAACACAAACTGCCGGCCGAGGAGAAACACATTTATTGTGTCAATCTGTCCAAATACTTTTTTTTTTTTTTATTACACATTGTGTGTTAAAATCCTACACAACATGTGTCAGAATGCTGTCAACACAACCATGTGTGTTGTTTTTGACACATCTGTTTTTGCAGGGCGCTGTGATGCGGTCGGAAACCAGATTGAAAATTGTCCAGATATCCATTTGAGTTTAAGTATTTGTTCAGCTGATTAAAAACTACCTTTTCAATAATCTTGCCTATAAAAGGAAGATTTGATATTGGTCTATAATTGCTCAAAATGGTGTTATCAAAATTGCTCTTTTTCAGAAGGGGCTTAACAACTGCAGTTTTCATGGAGTTTGGAAAAGTCCCAGAAAGAAGTGAGGCGTTCACCATCTAAGAGATCTGCTTCTAAACAGTTAAGCACCCTTTTGAAAAAAGATGTGGGAAGTGTGTCAAGATGGCAGGTTAACGATTTTAGGTGCTGCACTATTTATTCCAAAATTTTGCTATCAATTGCTTCAAAAATAGACATAGTATATCCTTTTTGATATTGCGGTCGAATCTGTCTGACCTCTGCATAACTTGGGGATGTGCTAATCGCCTTCCTGATATTATTGATCTTCTCAGAAAAGAAGGAAGCAAACTCATTGCATTTGCGGTCAGAGAGCATTTCACTGGCAATCTGACTTGAGGGGTTTGTCAGTCTCTCAACAGTAGCAAAAAGAGTGCAAGTTTTCTCCAAGCTGATTTTTGTCTACCAGACTTCTTGCTGACTTTCACAGGAGCACTATCATCAATAATATTCTTAACTTTTGAGTTAAAGGAGTCAAAGAGAAGATCAACAGAGTCTGATCAAAAAAAAATACCAAACTAAGGTATTTTGACTAAATATTGTTGACTGTCTCAGAATTTGAGAAAAGGGAAGTATGAAGCCACAACTGTTACT